AATCCGAATCTTGCTCTCCTTGTAGTGATTCCTTATCATATCACGTTCGTACTACTACAAGACAAAAAGGAGAACAAGCACGAAAAGAGAGAAGAGCTAGATAAAATGCTGGAAGAGAATAGAAGAAGGGTAGAAAAAGCACAGCGACGATTAGTTCTGGAGCTGCAGCGGAAGGAAGAAGAACAATATTGTGAACTCGAGTGGATTCAGAGACAAAAAGAGGAGGCAACTCGGAGAACTAAGCTAGATGATAAGAGTTTGAGTTATGTTTTGCTGGGAGTTAGTGAAGAGTCAAAAGCTTACAGACTCTATGATATAGAAGCGGCATATCAAAATAATAATATAGAAGTGGCAGATGAAAATAATAATATAGAAGCGGCAGATGAAAATACTACAGAAGAAAATATTTCATCTGGCTCTTTGGTTGAAACAAGCTCTCCTAGCTCGAATAAGGTGAGGAATAAGAGGCCACCGGTTTGGTGAGAGACTATGCAATAGGAGAAGATTTTTGTGAAGATGTTGATGAGCAGTCTGGATGAGAAGAATTTTTTTTTGTAAAAAAGATGATGAAGCTCAGCCATGTTTACCACTACTGAACCTGCAAACCTGTAAACTTCGAAGACACATTGATTTAAAGACGCATTGAAGAGTGAGAAATGGAGGCAAACCATGGACTTGAAGCAATAAACAGAAATGACACATGAGAATCGATGAAGATACCTCATGTTGGAAGTCAGTTATGAGGTTGTAGATATAAACTGATTACTGTTTCGGTTGAGTTTAAGGGAGGGATTGTTAGGATTAAATTAGATTAGATTTTGTTATTTGAATTAGATTTAGATTTAGTCCTATCGAATTTGATTCTTTCACGCTATATAATAACCAATTTTATTATTGAATAGAATGAGAGATTTCTCCAAATTCTTCTAATCTTTCTAGTTTTTTTTTTCTATTCCTAACAAATAGACACGGTAAAATATCTCAAATTATGTTGGATGTTGCGGTGGTAAACTAGATATTTAAGGGAATCTTAATGGTGTATAAATTAAGTTCTTATTTCCGAGACGACTAGCTCAGGGGGGCTAATCATAATCTGGGAGCAATAAAATGTCGTTCTTTGATCATAACTCATTATCCATAAGCGATCGGTTCACTAAAAACTTCTTGACATGATGGTATACACTAGAAACATCCTAACTTGATCATCGTGAAACCATGCAATCTTTAGCGCCCTCATTTTAATTTATTTCATTAATCACTCAAATCTGAGCTCTTTAACTCAAATGAGAGTTTAACTCAAATGAGAGTTGATGGCATACCAAAAGTCTTCCTTAGCTTAGAATATTAAATTTCTCTTTTTGGGAGAATTTTAAGTCCGATTACTTGCACATAAATCTACTCAGTTCAATGGTTATTTCTCTTGAGTTTCTTTATGTGATGTCTCATATTGGTTGGGGAGGAGAACAAAACCCTCTTTGTAAACGTGTGGAAACCTTCTCCTAGCAGACGTGTTTTAAAATTTTGAGGGGAAGCCCGAAAGGGAAAGCCCAAAGAGGACAATACTGCTAGCGGTGGATCTAGGTCGTTACAAATGGTATCAGAACCAAACACCGGACGATGTGCCAGCCAGGATACTGGGCCCCAAAGAGGGGGTGGATTGTGATGTCCCACGTTGGTTGGGGAGGAGAACAAAACACCCTTTATAAAGTCTTGAGGGGAAGCCCGAAAAAACGACACAATCTCCATGAATCTAAATATTGGAGGAATATTTTATTACGTATCAACTTGATTATAATTCAACTAGTACATCTTATATATTACACAACATATATTTACACTTTATTCCAAACGAAAGCAAAAAATAGTGCACAAATCAGATTCAAACAACTTGCAATTTCTCAATCGGAGTATGATCGTCGACCTTCAACGGGTAATATTCGACCGATAGATAACTTTGAAGACGATCTGAACCCGACAACTTGTCGACAATCTCACGGTGGTACGATTTGCAGACGAAATAAAACACAGACATAGTCACTAATGCAAACAAAAAGAAGAAAGAAAACAACACGACCAAAACAAGTTCCAAAAGAATCTTACCCACCAATGGCGTATGAAAAATCATATAATAGAACCCAAGTTCGAACCCTCCCGTACTCAAAATAAGAAACATTGATAACTTAATATTGATCATCATCATCTTCCCTTGAACCAAACCCTTACTTTTAGCCATGGCTTTAAACCCACAAAACTCTTCAAGAATTGACACAGCGTATGATAGCCTCCAAATTAGTGTCAAATAGAAAATACCCATAAAGACAATGATGGTGAAGATGATAGCAAACGTTAAGCTATAGCTGTTGGAGCTAAAGGCATTTGATTCATTTGTAAAGACAATGATCATAAATATCAAAGAGAAGACCATGGTAGCAACAAAGGTGTAGGCAAACAAACCTATGAAAACGCTTAGATAGGTGAGGAGAAGTCGTTTCCAGACGTTGGGTATGACGCTGATAACATGTTTGAATGAAACGTCACCGGTTGTGTAGATACAGGCGACGGTGTAGACGACCGTGGCGGCGGAGAGGAGAGAGAAAATGATGGAGAGGATATAAGAAAGGATTTTGAAAGTGAGAGAATAAGGTATTTGTGGGAAGAAAAGGGAGAATTGCATGGGGAGAAAGGTAAAGAGATAGAGAGGAAGAATGAAGGAAAGAGTGATTTGGGTGAAAATCTTTCTCCATTGGTATATTAACTTTAGGGTTTCTTTGAGAATCCCAATGGCTCCCAAAAACTGAAAATTGTCGAGATTTTTGAGTTCTTGATTCATGTTTTGTTCGGGTCGAATGTGAAGACTTTAGCAAATTAGAAAGAATATTTATAGCCAAGAAATAGAGGATGGAGTGATGGTTTAATATTCTAAGTTCTTCATTTATGATCCCGACAACCCAACTACTAAAATAAATATACTAAATTAATAGAAATACCGTTCAACTTTCCGAGGTGTTTCAAAATATCGAGTTTTTCAAAGTTTTATTAATACCCTTCAAAAAAATTTAAACAGTAAAGATAATCTATGAAGTGTAGATAGATGATGGTTTCTATTCCTATATTGGTTCAAATAATTTTTTTTAATAAAAATTAAGACGTGATATTAATTAGTAAACGTATTTTTAAATATTTTTAGAATGTTGAAGAGTAGTAATGAAAATTTTTTAAATTCTCAATTTTAAAAAAATTTAAGAATATTTTTTTTAGATAAAATATAAAATTTAAAAGTATTTTATTAATTTAGTCAAGAAAATAATATTAGTAAACGCCCGTAAATATTGATTTCGAAAGTCTCAATTCAATGTTTTAATATTTATTATATAGATAAGGATATGATCAACCGTGAGAAATTTCTTTGAAGACCAAATTTAGAGAGGCCACAAAGTCTTTTCTAAAGCGTGTTTTTATGTCACGATCATGGACTGAGTCAATAAGCTAGACGTAGAATGTTATGGTGAGTTCATAGTTTTGTCTACAAGATTAGTTGCAAATTCATTGCTCGATTATATTTAGAGAACGATATCGAAAGACGTTATCAAAGCTAAAGTATAATGATGAAGAATGATAAAGAGAAATATCTGGAGAAAAAAACCTTTTAAAGGGATACAATTTTTATGTAATATTATATAACATTATATCTTGATTTTTAATAACATGCCATTTTTTATTTATTGAGTCACAACAGTTGCTTCCGTTCATCTTACTTATAGGTTTTGGCTTCTCAGCTAACTTAACTTGGGTTTGATATGATTGGACCATTTTTTTTTACACTTATCGACTCTTTAGAGACGTTTTTTACACTTTCTGATTAAGGTTAGTATGACTACTTTTTTTAACTAATTTAAATTTAAATTATTTAGAGTTAAGTTTAAATTATTTTATGCAAATTAGATGAGTCAATTTCCATAATAAAATTCTCCGAGACTGTTCAGGTAGAATCAAATTATTTTCTGAAAACAACTTCCTAGGCACCCCAACAATATTGTTGGAGAAGTTATGAAACCAAGCCTCGATAGTTTTATTTATGTTTAAATTGTAACCCTTTGTTCATAGCGATTTCATTGCTTTGAACTTCTTATTTCATTAAAGTTTATTTTAATTGAAATGAATTTAACGAACGTTTAACATTGTACATAAAAAGTTTTAAATAATTTTTTTCATGCACGGTAGTCACATCATTTATATAGTAGTATAACTATTTTATTAAGAAATATGGGCGATGCTCGACCCTAAACAGGGTCTATGTTAGAAATATTGGCGATGCTCCCCTAGATATTGACTTTTGCAGTCTTTGTCTCGACAATGACATTTGGGTTGGGACATATAGAATGGTGATTAAATCTTTAAGAAATTCGTAGTTTATCTTTTATGATACATTAAAAATTAAAATAATATTCTTAAATTTTAAATTTATGTCTAATAAATTTCTTATTTATTTAATATTTTTTAAAATAAATAGATCTATGAGAACAAAATTAATTATTATTATTATTATTATTATTATTTTGTCCAATAAGATATAAAATTTGTAAAACTAAGATAATTTTAAAGAAATTATTTCTCGAAAGTTAGCTACAACAAAGAAGAATTGTAACCACTCAATTTTTTTTATTAAAAACGTCATTTTGACATGACATGTCTAATATGTACGAAAAAGTTCATTTCAGACGTGACTTAAACGTTCATTAAATCAATTTTAAATAAAATTAACTGAAATAGCATAAATAAAATAATAAAAACTTAAAGTAACGAAAATCAACTCGATCTAACCCAAGGGCGATAATTTAAACATAAATGTAATTGTTCTAGCTCTGATTTCATAATCTCCGATGATCCTGGAAGCTAATTTTTTTGAACTCCAATAATTACAAAATTTCACATGAAATTAAACATTTCTTCATAAACAAGTCCAACTATAATATAAGCATAATTATAATTATAATTCGGAGTTATTCTAAGGTCAAAGGTTCAGTCTTAGACTCAAGGGATTGTTGAAGATGAACAAAGAGCTCCAGTTTGTCAATGCGCTCACGATGGCACGATTTGCAGACCAAATATAACACAGTTCCAATCAACAAGAACATCAAAAAACACCACATCCAAACAATCCCCAAACTTCCTCTGATTCCTACCTCCACCAACGCCGATTCAGCAACCACCACATAACGAATCACAAACAAAATCACTCCAAAAGGAAGACCGATCAAAATCAGAAGAATCGAAGCCATCGCCATTTTGCCGTTAAGCAATTCCTTACTTCTAGCAATGGCCTCAAATCCATACGAATCCGCTTCGAGAACTGATACAACGCTCGCTATTTGCCAAATTAGGGCAAAATAGAACATCTCAACGGAGAGAAACAAAATCAGCAATCGAGTCAAGAATTCGAACGGTTCGTAGTATAGGAGATGAAGAATCGCGATGCAGATCAGTGTAATTGCAGAAAGAGCGACGAAATTGAAGGCTAAGAAATCGACGATTAAACAGAGAAATGTGATGAGATGTTGCTTACAGATTTTCGGCACGACGCAGAGCAATTGGTGGAACGGAAGTTCGCGGTCGGCGAAAGTAGAGGCGGCGGCGAAGACTGTAGCGGCGGTGGAGAGGAAGAAGAAGACGGCGGAGAAGAAGAAGAGAGCGGAATTGAAGGGGAAAGAACGGATGCTCCATAGATTGGGGATTTTGGTTTGAGTGAAGATTAAGAAGGAGAGGGGAAGAAGAAAAGAGAGAGTGATTTGAGTGAAGATTGTTTTGGCTGTGAAGATTAATCTGATGGTTTCTTTAAGAACTCCATAGATTCCAAGGAGTTGAAGCTTTTCTTGTTTCAGATTCATGAGTTTTCTGGTTGGGAAAATTGGAGGAGGAAGATGGAGAAGCAGAGAAAAAATGGAGGCTGTGTGTTAATACATGGTTGACTTCTACATTGATTTGGACTAACTTGGACTGATTCAAAATTTGAGGTTTATATTTTTTTTTAATTATTATTTAAAAAAATCTTATATTAAAGGTCAAGGATATTATTAAAAAAATAATTTAACTCTTTTCTTTGGACGCTCAACAATAGAAATATCTTTTAATGCTTTTGAAACGTTAGATATGTTTATGAGTTGTCTCATGTACTGACTTTTCCATCCTTTTTGTCACTTTCGTACCATGACCTTGTCTAAAAATCATTTGAAAAACAAAGTGAATAATTGATACGTGGAAATCACTCCAAGAGTAAGATACGCAAGAACATTATTTGAGATTCGAATCACCCCACAAGTAAGATCGATCATGTCTAGCTTGAATGATTCTTGTTGATCAAATATCTCAAACACTTGTATGAGATTCGAATCACTCCACAAGCAAGATTGATCACGTCGAGTTTGAATGATTCTACATGCAACCTAAACTACATAGAATTGCAAAGAAAATTAGTCATTGGCCAAAAAACAGCGCAAATGCTTCTTTTACTATATTTTCCAAGTCCACTTATAAATACAACCTGCATGGCTTTATATAATAAAGCTATTAAAGGGCATTCCAAGAGGTGTAACATTCGTACCGCCATAATTAACCTTGAAATAAAACTATTAATCTTAAAATAAAACTATTCCAAGAGGTGTAACATTCATACTGCCATAATTAACCATTACAAGCTATTAAAGACATTCCAAGAGTTGTGACATTCATACTGACATAATTAACCATTATGTAATTGTAACGTAATGTAAATAAAAAGTCTTAAAATACATTAATGAAATACAATGACTCTAAATTGCTCTAAACTGTAATTCACCCAAAATTTATAACATGAAACTTTATTTTTCTTCAATGTGGCATGAATTGAAATATCTTCTGATAATTTCAACAATATTTTCTTCACATCTTCGTTGAAGTATATTGTATGATTGATGTCTGTTGGTTGATATCAAATACTTAGTAAGGAACTTTGCTATTGAGGTCAAATATATAAACCATTGTATGACTAATCAAACGAAATCGAGGAACTTTAGTGGTTAATTACCCGAAATACATAGCGTGTAATTTTTTCACTAAGACTATTTTTCAGCAATCCCTCCTCAAAGTGATTAATAATGGTTGGTACCCTGTTCATACCGCGTGTAACCCTTACCACATAAAATTTAACATCCACCCTTATGCCTTAAAATATTATCAATCATTGATTACCCAATTCACACCGCTTGTAACACTTATCTTGATAACTATTTTCTGCAATCATTCAACAAAGTGACCAATAGTGGTTGGTTACCTAATTCACACAACACAACCATACAATAACAAACATATTGATATGAACCAAGATACATCAATCATATAGTATATTTCAAAGCCATGTATGTTGTATTTGTGAGTAGACTTGGAAAATATAGTAAACGTAACATTTGTGTAGTTAGCCAATAACTAAGTTTCTTTGCGATTCTACGTAGTTTAGGTTGCATGTAGAATTATTCAAGCTCGACATGATCAATCTTGCTTATGGAGTGATTTGAATCTCAAACAAGTGTTCTTGCATTGATATATTTGATCAACAAGAATCATTCAAGTTAGACATGATCGATCTTGCTTGTGGAGTGATTCGAATCTCAAACAACGTTCTTACCTTACTCCCCTTGTAGTGATTTCCACTTATCACATATTTAACCCTTTTCGAAAACCAAAAGATTTAAGTTTCAATAGAAAGGTCCCTAGAGAGCTTCTTCTTAATAGTTTCTATAGGTATTGGTCCACCTCCGACCTAGACCGAACCTACATTTAAACACAAAAAATTAACAAACAAATTTGACATGATACAATGATTCCAACAAACCATAGAGTTTTCTTGCTCACCTTCTTCGTATGAAGAAATTGGGTCCAATTCCCACTATATATATATATATAAAACGTTTCAACTTTGATGACTGGCGCATTATATCTCGATTACTATACCAAAATTTAGAGGTAAACATTAAGGATACGTAGGAATTTATACCTAACACATCGTAATTAATTATTTAAGTTTAATAATATTTTTTATTATTTTATTTACAATTTAATATTATCTATGATATGAAAATATAAGGTTATTAATGTAATCTTGAATCATATGGTTGACATATAAGAGGATCATGTTCAAGTAATAGAGTCTATAGTATATTAATAAAATTGAGTGACTTATTCTGGTAACACTATTGATACGATCTACTTTACCATCGTTACAAATGATTTGATTCAAATCGTTTGACATGTGAGTGAGAGTATACTATACAGTGAGTTTGTATAAGATTGGACCAAGAAGTATTTAATATCTTTCTATAAATTAGTTAACTAAGAAGATTAATACGTGCATAATTTGAGTTATGAACTCGTACCTGAGAAGAGTTGTCCTTTAATTTGTATAGGTGTAAATGACATTTTTAACCGATTCAATATGTCTAACACAACCGGGAGTTGGAAAACATTTATGAATGAATGTATAGTAATATAATTTTTAGAAATAAATTTATAAGGAAATTGCACATCCGTCCAAACCACTTAATCGGTCCGGTCTGAAGAGTAAACCGCTTCGTCGGCGCAAAACGGCTGCCAGTCTAAGAAATTATTTAAAAAGAGGGACGAAGATAAGACCGCTGGTTTAACCAAAAAGAACTTCTTCTACTGCTCTCCCGCCTCTCGGATTTTGGAGTTTCCATTTCAGTTTCCATTTCTTGTCGCCGCATTTTCTTTGCTCAAGTATGTCTCTCTTTCTCCCTCTCCTTCCTCTTTGTTTTCTTTCTTATCTTTCAAATTCATTTCTGTTTCGCATCTGTTTGGTTGCTGACAAAATCGTGCTGAAAAACACAGAAGAATGGAGTGTTTTCGAATTTTGTAGCTTCTTTATTCAGCATTTTTTTTTGGAGCTACTGGATTTGTTTGAATTAGCTTCTTGTTTGTTGACTATGTTGAGCTTAAGGTTTTTCCCGGTCAGGGGAAGTTGCAGATGGGATTTTAGTGATAGTGGTATATATATATTTTTTTTGTTGTGTTCATTAATGGAGAAAATTTCTCCTGGTGAACTAAGTGTGTTTTTTCGGTTTCTATCAAGTACCAATTAGTTTTGCGAAGCTTGGGTGTGGAGAATTTTCAGAATCTGTAACACATGCGACTATCGGAACCCTAATCCTGTCCGGAATTAGGGTTTTCTTCGTGCTGTTTAGATGGTTATTGAAGATGGGGAAAGCAATGGGAATTGCACGGGACGTCCTTTGGAGGTCAAGTTCATGAAGAGCGTGGCAGGAAAAAATGGAATCGGGATGGGGGTTTTGAATGTTGTAACTGAAGGGGTTCCAGGAACTAGCGATGGTTTTCGAACTTACAAGCGGCGGAAGCAGACGAAGTTGGCTCTTGGGAGCGAATGCAAGGGAGATGGCAAGGTTCATGTTGAAGCTGCTAGTCAACTAGTAGTCCAGGTTTCTCTCTCTCTTTCAATCTATCGCCCTTTCAATTAATCATGCGCACCTATTCAGTATACTCCAAATTATTTCTTGTTGATTTAGTGTTGTTTGTTGGATTTAATCTTGGCTATGCGTACTTGCATTCAAGACTGGAAGTTCTATGAAATCTAACTGACTATGAATCGTGTTGAATTCATAAAGTATCAGGGAAAAGTTAGAACTTGATATTTTGGATTCTACTGAACTGTGGACATTATATAAAATGTAATGATATCTACTTTAAATGAAAATGTTCTCAAGGTAAAAGGAGGGTGGATTGGAAGAGTTGTCAATCTGCTTTGAAATTCATCAATATATACTGCCCCATACTAGGTGGTAAACATTTAGGTGAACTGATAAATTTTTTGTCAGATGGTAGGAGACTTGGAATGTATTGTTGCAGCAACCAGATTTGGTGCGATGAAACCCTTCAAGAATATTCTTTTGCTTTAGGAATTTGGAAGAATTAATGCTTTTGATTGTGTTTTGGGGTAAAGAAAATGGGTCAGTTGTTATATAATTTTGAACCGTATCAAGGATTAGATATGTAAATCCATGGATGTATTAACTTTAAGTTTTTGTAGATCTTTGGTGGATATTTTATCCAGTCCTTGTTGCAATTTTGCCTTGTTAATGGTTATTTTTAAAAAAGAAACTTTCTGTTCATCAATAAAAATACAATTGTGATGAGTTAACCATTGATTTTTTTTTTTCTAATTGCAATTTTTGAAGTGATTGCGGACAAGTTCCTTGATAATTCTGTTGTTCAGGAAACATTTTTCAAATTTTCCAATGGGATTTATTTGTCTCACGATCACCAAAAAGAGAATGTTTAATAGAATTGTGCTACTTTTTTTTGGAGAGAAACTTGGTGGTATTCAGTTTACTTG